CCATAATAATAACACCATCCCCCAAAAAAAAAGTTATCAAAAATCAACGCGAATTCTTAGCCAAATTAGACTTTTACTTTCTTAGCTATAATTTAATTGGGTATAAAAGTGCAAACTAGAATTATCTCAAAATTCTTATTAAAAAGTTTGTAGTAAAATTTTATCGAATTTTCTTAATTTTTCTACAAAGTTTGAAATTTCGACATATATGGCTTAGGTAAGGTAATAAACACTAAACAAACAAGAGAATAGAATAGAAATCGCTGCATCTTTTTAGGCGCATCAATATTACATAGTTAAATCCCGAGTAATAAAAGGGAGGTAAAAAGAGTCAAAGCTGGTCCAAATGTCATTTCCTATCATTTTTCACATGCCTGCACGTATTCAACGTAGCAAACGGTCTTGCTCGCAAACACAATATAGATATTAGCCAACCGTTTTGGGTTGTTGTTATAGTAATCGTTGTTGTTGTAGCTATATTCACCCTGCAGGGAAACCGCGGACTAGTGAATGAAATTTCTAGTTCCGTAGAAGTCTTTATCGCCAAAAAGGAACTAGTCCGATAGGAACTAGATCCCCACCAGTCCAAAATCGGCGAAAAGTTGTACTTTTAAAAATCTATTTTTTTCAGTTTTTTCACTAGAAATCTATATCTAAAGTGACGAATTTAGAAATGGTTCGTAACTATAGAAAAAGGGATGCAGAACGAACTAGATCTTATTTGTCGAATTTAGAACTAGTTCGGAACTATCGAATAAGGGATGCAGCGGGGGGCTTATTTACTTTACATAGACAAGTGTTCGGCGATTTTTTTGTTCAAATACGCTTCTATTCTGTGCTTCTCAGATGCTTTTTCATAGCTTGGTAATACAAAACTAAAATTTGTGTTAACATTTCAACATCTTGGGACCGTCTGGAATATAAGAAATAACAGCGAGCGCCTCTGCAAACGCAGCTACAGCCAAAGGTATGTAAACGTACATTTCTTCATTCAAACAAATTTAATTTCAAATTGAAAACCCATTTCTTCCAAAATATCTTAAAATCGCGCCACGGATGAACCAAAAAGATTGAAAAATCATGATACTTTTTTCTTTCGTCCGTCGATTTTCGAACTGGTTCGGAACTATAGAATTTAGGTCTAGTTCGGAACTATCGAAAAAGGGATGCAGCGGGCAATTGACACTTTCTAGGACATCGCCATGTTAAATTCGCCAGTTGCTTGCATGCAAAAGAGATTTATCGCGAACCAGTACTGGGTCTAAATGTACTAGAAGCGTACCAGTTCAGAACTAGAGATTTTCCCCACAGGGACGTTAAAAGTAGCCATCATTTCCGGATAATTTTCTTGTTTTGTCATAACTCACATATTTTACTGTAAATATGAGTGGTGGTTTATTGTTTTTGCTTACGTCAGAAATTTAATTTAAGTCGCACTAAAATTGAGTTCTGAACCATAGTGCAGCGGGTTGAAAATTTTCATTTAACTCTTAGTTGTCAAAAATTTGAAATCCGGAGTACTTTTCTATCAATTGGCACAGGCGTTTTGCGCAAATAAGCAGGCATGTTCTGTGAATCGTTTTCGATCAACATTTTCGGATTTTCCGTTTTTAAATCGTATGACACGTTCTGTAAATCGTTCCGTTTTTGTTTTTTTTCGAACATTGCCAAATCGATTTGTCACCCTGTTCTGGAAAACGAAATCGGTAAAATTTTACTGTTTTGTATTCGGCAACGTAGACGAGAGCGGTTTGAAATTTTAAAATATTTTGTATCAATAATACGCATAACAATGTAAGTATTATCATGAAATATATCATCTTATTTGTAAATAAACGTTAAATATCAAAAATATTCAGGGGGAAACACAAGAACATCATATCAAGATGGAACAGTTGGTACATGAAAAAGTCAAAATAAAAATGAGGATGCTCGAGTTAGAATCATCAATGAGGTGATTAATATGTAAATATTTACGCTGAGTTTTTGTTATAGTGAATTTACATGATTCAACTTTCACAGGCGATTAGTTGAACCAAAAGTTGAACGAAAGTAGGCAGCCAACCAACTTCATTGAAAGCGATTAGTTGAAAGGCCGTTTACACCAGGCGATTGTTGCTTTCAACTAAAAATCGCCTGAAAAATCGCCTGAAAAATCGCCTCATGTAAATTCCCTATAAATTTATTTTTTTATAAGTGAATAAAGTTTACGTTCTGTTCTATAATATTAAATTATTCGCAATTAAGTCTCTTAAATTTCGGCCAACATTATTCCAATTTGTATTTTTTCGAGTTCAGTATTTTTTTCAAAAATTTCTTCAGGTTGGGTTGTGCTTTCTGTTTCTACAAAGTCTTCTGTTTGATAATGCCTACAAATGCTATGTAAAGCACAGCAAATATTTATAATCTTAACTACTTTTTGTGGGGCATATGGTAATGCGATTTTTAGACATATGACCCTGCTTTTAAGAACTCCTATTACTCTCTCTATGATATTACGAGCTTTGGCATGTTGGAGATTAAACCTATGTTGTGGTGATCCCGGATTAGGATCTCTATACGGTGTCAATAAAAATGCTTCTATTCCGAATCCGGAATCACCAAGTAACCAGGATCCGCGGTCACCAGCTTCATATTTTGACAAATAATGTTGCTTTGCATTACTCATATTAAAAACAAAAGCATCATGGCTTGATCCAGGCCGGCTTGCATCTACTGCTCGTATAACCATATCGGAATCACAAATCTGTAAATTCCAAAAAATTGTAACTTAAAAACGTGCTTATGCTGTTCAATTTCATACTTACAATCATTGCATTTATGCTAAAGTAACCTTTTCTGTTATAAAAAAGATGCTCATTCTCCAAAGGTTTTACTAACGCTACGTGAGTTCCATCAATACAGCCAATTACACCTGGGATTTCAAATTTTTCCACAAAATGTAGTTTGCATTTCCTCAAATCCTCCGCCGATCTGTCCAACTTAATCCACTTAGGACACAGCACAGTTTCCAAAGCATTGATAATTTCTGACAATATTTTAGATACTGTGCTTCTACTCAAAGCAATGTCAGTATCCTTGCCGACAGAACATTGGAATGAGCCTTCTGCGAGGAATCGAAGGCAGGCTGCTAGCTTGATAAGTAACGGTATAGATGTTTCCCTGACAAATGGAGTTATCTCGTTCAATACTTCTAAAAAAGCACTCTTACTAAAACGATAGTTCGCAATAAATCTAAAAGCAGTTAAATTTAAACAGGCAAACTCCTCGAACGTTTGTTCAAAACTTACATTGAATCAGGCGTACTTAGGGGGTTAGATTCATCTCTTAACCGTCGTCGATTAACCCTCATTTGATAACGTTGCTCCCTTTCATTCAATGCGTAAGCTGCCATAAAAAACATTTTATTTAAAAAAAAAATTCGTTTAAATTCAATTTTTCTAACAACCACCTCTTTTGTCATGGGGTGTGTTCAGTTGACATAAAGCCGTCAGCTGTTTCGAATTTCAAAGAAATCGAACGAATTACAGAACACCTAAAATAAAATCGCTCGAATTGTCATTTCGGTTCCGAATTCAAATCGTACGAATTTCAGAACATGCCTGAAGGTTATGAAATGCGTTTTATTTAAATCGTTTAAAAAATTAGTCATTTATGTATACCATTTTATGTGGAACTAGCAGACCCGGCGAACAACGTCCCGCCCAAAATTTTAATTTTTCTCAACAGTTCAATTCAATTTCACCAACAATTCACGTTTACGATTTTCATTGGCACATTCATCTGCTAAGATTATGGTTTGGTGGTCATTTGCCGCTTTAAATAACCTAAAGAAAGTGAATCCGTGAAGTGATCCGTGAAGAAGTTCTTGAAATTCTCCAACTGTGCAGCATTTCATAGCACGGCTATTCGCAAAACGAAGTAAATTTGATGAATCTTTTCCTCTTCACTCCCTGGCGGCAACAATGACCCGGTTCTATAGTGAATCTGTGCTAGAAGCTTTACAGTATAGTTGGTGGAAATTTCAAATTGGGTGGGAATCATTTTTCTACAGAAATGCAATATACATCTACTTATTTCAGACGAAATACCTTAACAGCTTGAACGCATAATAATATTGGAAATCACATCCATTGGGCCAATCGTAACACAGGAGGGTTCGATATACTCAATGGTGAACAGGTCGATTTAATCTGACCTTCACGGCACCTTTTCTCACTTGGCTATTTTTAGTAACTAGTATCGCCCAGTTGTCGAAATTCGACATTTTTTCATACACTTTTAAATTTTGCTTATCACCAATATTGACTTCTTTATGGGAATGACGATTTTGAAGTCCACCACCAAAATTTAAACTTAAATCCAAATTTCTTAGTATTTCGAAATTATACTGAGAAAGGAACCGCAATTCTCATATATAAAAAATATGTGTATGTACATATGTATAGTGTATGTATAGATGAGATGCCTAACGGTTCCTGACTGACTATTATGTTAAACATATACCATTGCTGCTTTTGTTGCTATTATGTGTTCTAAAGATGAAGCAAATCTGACCACAGATTTTAATGATAGCTCTCAATTAGAGACAAACTCACTGATCCTTTCAAAAATCATTACACAAAATAACAATCATTCAATGCGATTTAGAAATCTGGTAGAAAATGGTACCAATTAAATAATTCTTGCCATTTTATATGTATATACATGTTGGTGTATCAAATTCCATTACCTTATCATAAGTGGGCCCAGATATAAGCGATATGGAATTTTCGCAATAAGTTCGGTAATGATAATATACGCAGCTGTGTAAAATTTCAGAACGTTAGCTTAAGCGGTTATACAGATAAGCGAAATGAGCAGTTCAGCTGTATGGGAGGTGCGCCTCGCCCCCTTTTTCAATACCTACCGCTTTTCGCAGTAAGTACGATATTGAAAGCATATGTTGCTGTGTCAAATTTCTGGACGTTAGCATAAGCGGTTCCAGGGAAAAGCGATAGGAGAATTTCAGTTTATTATTTATTATTTAGTATTTATATGTAGAATAACTCGACTCCAGCGCCAATTGGCAGCACGTTTTTGCAATACTATTGCTCTTACCATGACCAATACATATTTAAAATATTAGCCAAATCGAGCCATAAATAAATTTTTTAGTAAAAACTCAACTACAGCGCAACTGGCGAATTGAATTGTGAAACTAAACCATTCAGAGACCTACTCAAACACACACAAAAAATTTCGTTAAAATCCGTGCAATCATTTAGGAGGATTTGACTCACAAACACACCTACAGAAGAATGATAAATACATTCAAAGATAGCTAAAAATCGGTACGTTTGTAGGCCTCACGCCCCCTTTTCAAATAGCCCCAATTTTCTCCATGAGCATGGGGTTGATTTCATATACATACAAATCGCCATACGAAGTTCCAGTACTCTACCATGAATACTTTCAGAGATACGCAGTATAAAATTTCGGTTTGTATGGGAGGTGCCACGCCCTCTTTACCAATACCTCCCATTTTTCTTCGTGAATATGCGAAGATTAAAAAAGGCAGTAGTCCCAGCGCGGTTTAAAAATTAATCCCAAATTTTTGACCGTGTAGCGGTCCATTCCTATCTGTATGGCCGCATTTTTAGTTGTTTCGTTTTTCAACTTTTCTTGCGCTTTACCTTTGTTGCCAGTGTAAGTGCTTTCACTCAAGCCGATTTGTGCTTGTTCAGCAAGAATAGGCCGGTTTTTTGACATCGCTGTGCAGTTGGCAGGTACCGGTGTGTTTGTGGTTGTTGTTGTTGGCGCATTTGAGGTTGTCAAAGAAGTCACTGTACTAGTTGTTGCTGCAGCTATATTTGGGGATATGTTATCGCTTACCGAATTTGATGTAAGCGTTGGGCGTGAAATGTGATACGGCACAGGTGAAGCGCACTCTTCAATCCAAGACATCGGAGTCGTCGATGTTAAGTTTGGAGGACAAGTCCGCTGGGCTTTGTGCTTTCGCTGTCACTCTGGCATCGAATAAAGTAGTATGCGTTGTTGTGTTGAACTGAAAGCCGGCGCTCATTTCGCTCGCGTTGTTTCTGGGCACAGATTTCAGCTTGATTCATTGCTTTCTGTTTTCATTTGGTTTGTTTGTTTATTTATTTTTATTATTATTTTTTATTATTTTTTTATTATTTTTTATATTTGTTTTTGTTTTATTAAATTAGCCCAATATGTAATGACTACGGAGCGAACTTAAAAAAACACGTCGCACTCTTCGACGTTCGAAGAGCTAAATTAAAAAATTATTTACATATTCAGTAAAAACAGATAAAAACGGAAAAATCCTGAAGTAAGTCAAAAAATATTTTTGATCTTGTTTAAAACACGTTGCTTTAAGGTTTGGAACCACTTTGCGGATCCAGCTTATTTTCTATTAGATACATCTGAAAAGTTCTAAAGTTAGACAAAAGTAATTTTTTATGCATTATTGTATACCGCTAAATGCATTTGATACTGACATAAAGTCATTGCGTCCTTTACGTGGACATATAATAAGCTCTTGTCTAAAGCCCAGATAATCTTGCATCGCGCATTCCTATCCTTTGCAGCGTCTAGTCCTTGAGTCCCCTCAGGCTCCACGCATCTTCCAGTTCAAGCTGCGTACGCATTGCGAAACTCCATGTTGACCAATTTTCGGAGCCAACCAGCTTCTCCATATTATGCGCCATAGATAGAGGTCTCATCGCGATGTATTCTGCTCACAAACAGTTGATCCTTAAGTAATTAAATTTTGTTTAATGCAAGTGACCCATAACCTTTTAGCAGAGCGTTCTTTATTGAAAGAGCTTTGTGAAGTAAGTGAAAATTTTTAACATTTCATAAGACATTATACAAACGAATATTCAAAGCTTTGCATATAAATTTGTTCGCATGAAGGTAGAATACAACAAGTATATACAACAGTTTTATCATTTTTTGATGCTGAGTTGAACCGGGCTGGAACCCAGGCGCTGCGGAATAGGAGCGCGCACTGCTAACCACTATACCACAGCGACGGTATTAATCAATTATTGAATGAGTGTTAAATAATGCTGACTTCCAAAACGTAGCAATACAATGTTTGGATACTGTTCTACTACGGTATTTAAACTGTTTTTATATGCAGAGTTGCGAAACATTGTAACCACATACATTGCATATTTTAAATACTTAATATAACAATGATTACCCTTTCGAAACATTCCATTTTTAAAACACCGATGATAACCAAAAACAAACGAAGCATCAACTTTGTTTCTGATGCTCTTATTATTCTAGCGTTTCGGTAACTTCGGATGCGTTTAGAAAAGTATGCATTGTCAACATTTTGTAGTTCGGCGTTATGGAACAATATATGTACTTTATACGGACGCAAAACAATTGACGTTTTGGAAGTCGGCCTATATTATTAGATAAAAACAAATCATTCGACCATCATTTTACCGTACTAAGCACAATTAGTCTTCCTTTTGATTTGATAAAAATTTTGCAACAATCGAATGTTGTTTGTCAAAAATATGACAGATAACTCTATAGAACCAAACTGCGTACATTTAAATATTTTCAAAATTTAAGAATGTAAGAAGTAGGTATGTACATATATAAACTTTGTAAATGATTTAAATATATACATATATGTGTAAAACTTGAAAATTAGTATAGTTCACCTGTATCGAACTCTATATGAAGCTTTTAATCCTCCATCAAATCCCGGAGTCCATGCTAAAGTTACACTATCGTGTGTTACATTAAGTATATTCAAACTAAGTGGAGTATCTGGCTGGGAAGTAATGTCCAACCGAATAGATTCCGTAGCCTGACCCAATTCATTCGTTACCACACATTCATAAGCTCCATAATCGGCCGGTGCCACTTTTTCAATGATAAGAGTGGATTCATAGGTCAGGGGATCAATTTTCTTTTCTTCAACCTCATACTTATATGTGCGATTTACTGGAAGGTCTTTGCTTTCTTGACGCCATATGAAGTTTGGTTTTGGGGCAGATTGGGCGCGACATGGTAGGCGTCCTCGTTCACCTGTACCACTCGCTGCGCGTAAAAAAGTTGGCGATTTATCGATTTCAGGTGCAACTATTACAAAATAAAAAATATAATCTTTTCTAAATTCAATGATGTCATCTACGTGACTTACATTTGACAATGAGTTGAACATCGCGATTTGTCGGATTTGCAACACGATTATCAGCAATGCACCGAAAACTTCCGACGTCATCGCGACTTGCGTCTTTTATATGCAGATATGAGGTTCCATTTACAAATGACGTTGTGGTTCTTGATGCAATGTCATACGCCACTCTCTCCCATTTAATGTGTTCCTCGGTTAACGGTTTTCCTTCTACGGTACAAGATAACACCGCATCTCCGCCAGGATTCACTACAACATTTTCCGATATAGCTTTTATAGTAGTACCATCTGCAAATAAAAAAAAGGTGTTGGTTGATTTTACCAACAGGGTGGGAAGATGAGATGTTGTCTTGATTAAGTTTCAGGGTGGTGATCCCAAAATACACCAAAGAAATACAATCGTGGCTGACGAAAATATAAAAAAAATGTATTCAATATGTTGCAGCATTTTTCTGTACGTATTGCGCTCAATATTTCTTCTTAAATTAATAATTTCTGAACAGCTTACAGTCTGGTTTACAAGCATTAGGGAGTGATTACAATGCCAGCTTGGAGTTGAGAGTATTTTCCCCTTCTATCTTCAATATCTGATTGGAGAGCGGTATGGCTTTCATAATAACATAATCGGATTTCGAACTTCAAATGCAACTAAAATTTCACTCCAAACTGAGACGCAGCAAGTAATTTTTAAGCAAAAAACAAAACTGACTTCAATTCTCATATAAAAATTTAAGATTATCGTTAATTTCTTCATAATCCAATGATCAGATTTAAACCAAATTAGTATGGGACCACCTGTGAGGTAACACCTTTCCTTAAAAAAGGATTATAGGAATCGGTTAATGTGGTCCAAAATTATGCGGTAACATACATAGAAAAAAATAAAAATATTCAGACGAATTGATAGCCCTCTCCTTTTTGTGAGTTCAGTTAAAAAGAACACCATTAAAAAGAAAAAAGCATTCTCCGCAAGAATCGAACTTAGGTATTCTGCGTTAAGATGGAATCGAAAGAGGAAGAGAGAAAACATCTTTCGAAATCAGCTGTTTGCCTAGGAATGTGTGAAATCGAAACAAAACAAAGAAATATTTGCCACCAAACTATAGCAGCTTATGAAGTTAAAGTTTGTAAATATTTTAAAATAAATAAATATATTTAGCATCACTGTAATTTAAAAATAAAATTTCGTTTGCTTTTAATTTAGTGGAAACATAATTATAAGAATGAAATCCTTAGCCGCGGCGTTATTGCTTGAAGAGGAGAACGAGTCCCAGATTGGTGATGCGGAAGTTGAAAGGCGGAGATTTGGGGACATGTTTGATCTTTTTCAGATGAGTGAAGAGTCATAAACTCATCATGAACTGTATTACTCACCGCTCAAAGCCAGTGAAATTATAAACGTGGATGTGGAAGATTTGACCGCAAATGAATTCCATTTTGAAATCAGTCAGGAGGAGGGGAATAAGAAAGCTTATCCTTCCATAGCAAATCGAATTCGAGACAACATACGCACTTCTTTTTAAAGACTTAGTAAAAAGGAGTGCAATAATAAAAGCATATTTTTTTATGTAACTTCACATTTTATGTATGTCTGTATGTATGTACACACCTCTATTAATCTTTTATACAAAGAATAAATTGTATTCAGTGTATTTCACAGTCTTATTTATAGATAATGAAAACAAAAGCGCCTGTGCTTCCTCTTTGAAACCCTCGCGCAATATCGCTTTTGGTTGCCATTATTTGAGCCAATTTTTCGTATTGCTCGTATTACCGCTCGCGAACACACAGAAATCGAGAAAATTCATTTATGATGACTTTCACAATCATGCACAGTATATTTTACTTAAGTTTTTTATAAAATTTCATTATTGAAACCCACGACAATTATCAGAATAATAACTAGCGTTTTTAGTATTTTCGACAGAATGTCTGAGTTCTTTTTAAAGGACTTTCAAATTTTAACAAGGATATTGGTTTCAAAAAAATCGTATAAACGTAAAGCAAAAACAAAAATAAAAACCCTGCAATGCGACAGCAATCGCAATTTTAGTATTTGCTGTAGTAATAATCCTCCATGATTCTCCCCTCGCTACGATCATTCTAAGTGGTTGCGCATCGAGTGACTATTTTCACCATAGGAATTATACGTCAGAAAATGAGTTATTATGTTTTGAGGTCAATATAATTTTCTAGGATTAATAAATTCGCTCGAACTATAAGAATACATTTATTACATGCCATTTAAATATTATGCATGCTCAGATTATTTAAAGTCCGAAGTTATCCTTTTTTAATTTAAGGAATCTTTAAATTCTTATAGTTTGAAGCGTTTTCATTAATCCTAGTAAATTATATTGACCTCAAAAGAGGATAACTCATTTTCTCGCGTGTAATTCCTATGGAAAAAATAAGCACTCGAGAGGAGAGATTCATGGATTACTATTACTACAGCAAATCAAGAATGATAGAATTGTATTCTCTCAATCGTGACAGCAAATGCTAAAATCTGCTCAGAGGTCAACAAATTTAAGTTACTGAGCCAAACGACAGCCACGGCAATATCAATTACAACAACATCGTTCTGGGAACTGAAAAAAAATATTTCAACACCAAACTAACAAATCATGATACAAGCATACAGCTGAGCAAATGCCAGCCAACTCGAGGCAGCAGTGAATGTATGTCGATAGATTTGTGTCCCGTTCGTTTGCCCTAAAGGCCCGTTTACATACAACTTTGGCGTTGCGTAGGCGTTGGCGTCGCTTCGACAGCT